CACTGTGCCCTCTTATCCATTGGAGGATAACTCGGTTATTGGAAGATATCCTATCCAGTGAATGGTGGCATTCAATTATCAATTTGTTGTTTGTCTTGTTGTTTCGTAATGCTTTTAGTACTGCTGCGCTGTCAGATAAGAATCTAATGCTAAAACCATTTATTCCTAGCTTATGTACAGCTGCAGCAGCCTCGGTTATTGCAACACATTCGCATTGGAATATTGAGCTGTGTACGCCAAGCGGTATGTGCACGTTTATATTCAGGTCTAAGGAAAAGACTCCGGCTCCTGAACCGTTCTCGGTTTTGGAGCCATCGGTGTATATGCGTAATTCATGTACACCGGATTGGTCCTTTTCCTCTTCTTGAATTTGTATTTGGTATTTTTTGTTAAATATATAATGATTATGAGTCCTGTCACACGGAGCCGCAATCAAAGGTTCATATTCGATTGCCTGGTTCAGAATAGAAGTGTGGGGACTGTAGTGATTTTTACCCCATAGATCCAGATGCATTAGTCGGATAGCGGCTAACGCCGCTTCCTGCTGTATGTGCAGGTCTAGGGGTGTTATGTTGAGGGCCAACTCTATTGCTGTTGTAGGAGCTGTTTTCATGCAGCCGCTGACAGAAGAGCAAAACAGTCTCTGAAAGCTTTTTAGTTTGGCGGCGGTGGTCGATAGTTTTGTCCTCGGCCACCAAACCAGTGCACCATAGACCAACATTGGCCTGATTACAGCTCTGTACAGCCATAGAGTTATTTTTGGCGAAAGACCTCATTTGTTTCCTAGCATCTTTTTGCACTGGTAGAATGCAATTGTGCTTTTGTTAAGTTTGTAGTCAAGATGTTTATTCCAAAGCAATTTACTGTCTAGTATTATGCCAAGGTACTTGACTTCTTTCTTAAGTTTCAGTTCTGTATTGAAGAGTTTTGGTAGTCTGTAAGGACATGTAACTCTTCTATTTGTGAACATGATTAATTCTGTTTTTGTAGGATTCATGCTGTGCGCACCATCTCTCAATTATTTCAAAAGCTACTCTCATGCGATCACACAGAGTACCTTCGAAGCTTCCTGTTAAAAGTACAGCTATACGAGGTCTGTCCGGAAAGTTCGTATAAAAGTGTTCTGGAATGCGAGAAAGAGAAGTGGGGAGGCCAGGTAAGCGCAGGACCCCTTCCTTATGTCCCTAACAATGCTTCAGTTCTGGTCTGACCGCCGTGCGGTGCGAACTGGCTTGTCACGCCATCTGTGAAGTTACCTCTTAACGAAACCCCGTCGGCATGGAGCCCGCTTCCGTTGAAGAGCAGCGCGTCGTAATCAAGTTTCTCTCGAAACTCGGCAAGAATGGCCGTGAAATTTTTGCCGATCTCAGAACAGTTTATGAGGATGATGCTGTGAAGGAACCAACCGTCCACAAGTGGCTAAAAAGATTCAAAGAGGGCCGAGAAAGCGTTCAAGACAATGTTGATTGTTTTTTTCGATGTTCGGGGGATTGTCCATCAAGAATTCGTCCCTCCAGGCCAGACAGTTGATGGAAAATTCTACGTCGATGTGCTCAGACGCCTCAAAGCTCGTGTGGCACGAGTTCGTCCAGAATTGGCGCGAGAGGGGCGTTGGATTCTTCACCACGACAATGCCCCTGCCCACACCTCTCTTGTTGTCCGTGAGTTTTTGAGTAAAAATTCCATTACGGTGACCGAACACCCCCCTATTCGCCGGATTTGGCCCCGTGTGACTTCTTCTTGTTCCCAAAACCAAATTGGTACTTCGGGGGCGGCATTTGGGGGACATAAATGAGATAAAAAAAGCTACGACGGGGCAGCTGAGAAACCTACAACCAGAGGACTTTCAAGGAGCCTTCTCACAGTGGAAACGGCGTTGGCACAAGTGCATTATGTCACAGGGGGAGTACTTTGAAGGGGATAAAATTGATTTACCTGAATAATTGTAAAATAAAATTTTTAAAAAACTTTTATACGTACTTTCCGGACAAACCTCGTATCATCCGCATAACCTACCGTGTAGAGGCTGTTATCGTTGAGCTCTATTATGAGCTCATTTACGACTATATTCCACAATAGTGGTGACAGTACACCGCCTAGTGGACAGCCCCTACCGACGATTCCTCGTGTGGTAGTATTTACAGTAAATTGTATAGCTCGTTGTTTAAGCATGTTATGTATCCATTCTCTAAGTGTTATTTCTACTCCATGTGTAGCTAGTGCCCGACTTATACTGGCAAAGTTTGTTTTGTCGAATGCCCCTTCGATGTCTATAAATGCACCTAAGGTTGGCTGCTTCGATTGCAATGCATTGCCTATTCGGGATACTACGTTATGAAGTGCTGATTCAGTTGACTTGCCTTCACTGTAAGCATGTTGGTTAGGATGTAAAGGTTTGCACAGGGAGACTTGACATCTAATCTCTTTGTCACATAGTCTCTCCAAAATTTTCAAAAAGAACGAGGTGAGACTGATGGGTCGAAAGGATTTGGCCACAGTGTAATCTCCTCTACCTGGTTTAGGAATAAATATAATTTTTACCTCACGCCATTTCAAAGGTATGTAACGGTGAGCTATGCACGCTCGGAACAGCTGTACTAAGTAGTCAGCTATGACGCTCCCGCTCCATTTCAGAAGGGCTGGAAATATTCCATCCAGGCCTGCCGCTTTAAATGGTAGAAAGGTACTGATTGCCCATAGTAGTTTTTCTTTATCTATAACTCTGTTTGCTACTTCCCAGTCCGAGCTGCTGGTTTCCCTTTCCTTGTATGGTTCCCATGACCACTCCGCAGTAGTCTGGAAACCTGGAAAATGTGTGGTTAGTAGCAATTCGGTTGTTTCTGTGTCGTTCTTTGTATAATTATTATCAGGTTTCTTGAGGCAACCTATTGTATGATCTTTCTCATTAGAGAGACATGCTTTTACTTTAATCGCCTGGTTATTGTTTTCTATATTTGTACAAAAACGCCTCCAGCATTCTTGCTTTCTCTGGCGTATGAGTTTCTTATATTGTTTTTTGGATGTTGTGTATTTATTCCAGTCTTCTTGTGACCGTTTGTTCATGGCTATGTTAAACAATTTCCTTAACTTACGACGGTGTCTTTCCAATTTTGGACACCACCAGTGTTGCCTCCCCATACTGTGGTGTGGTTAGGGCACAGGACTGTTCATAGCTTGAGGTTAAAATGGACGTGATGTAGTTTGCACTATCGTCCAGATCTGTTACCGCTAAATCGTCTAGTAGTAGCAGTTGATTGTCAAATTTTTCCCTGACCAGTGTAAGAAATTTATGTTGGTCAGTCCTTCGAGGTATACGTCTAGGCTGTGGTTTGGGTAACTCCATATTAATGGAGAATCGAATCCATCTATGATCTGAGCATGATATTTCATTGGATACATGCCAGTCACAAACAGATTCCGAAATACCAACAGTCGTTAGAGTTAAATCTATAATAGTTTGTGATCGAGCGTTTATAAAGGTAGGTTCAGAACCTTTGTTAATTAGAGTAAGGTTATTACTAAAAATAAAATGCAGCATTTCCTCACCTCTGTTATTGCACTTGCCGTTACCCCAAAGGGTATGATGCGCGTTGGAGTCGGCAGCGATGACCAGATCCAGCTTCTCCCTCTCACAAAACTCGACCAATAGATTGAGCTCCGGAGTTGGTATGTCCTCGTCGCTCGGCAGGTATGCGGAGGCAAGGACAATATCCGGGAGATGCTGTTCTGTCCTAGTTAATCTGACTACTGTCAGGTTCCTTGAACAGAATTCGTTGATTAGTAATGTTGGTACATGTTTCGGTACTAGTATACATGTTCTCGGTTTACTTACGGAGGTGTCTAGAAGAAGTTTTCCTCCGCTGTTTCCAAGACCACATATCCTGTTTTTCCTGATCCACGGCTCTTGGATCAGCGATATGGTCTGTGTGTTGTTTTCCAGCACTCTGCGTAAGGAAGCCGTTGCAGTTTGGCTGTGCTGGAGGTTGATCTGTATGATTTTAGTCTTCCCGGAGAGGGGAGGAGTAGAGGACACCATCGCTGGTTTCACTCTCTCCCCCCTTCCGGAAAGCACTCTTCATCCGAGATAGATCTCGGAGAAGGCAGATTTTGCACTTCCATCGCAATCGGGGGTTCCGCGTGCCCAGGCACGGTCGCAGCTTCCCTCGTCGACAATGTCGGCTTAGGTGTCGCGCTCCGCGTCAAGGTTCGCGCCTCCTCCGGTTGTTGCGTGGGGTTTGTATTGGGTTGTGGGGAAGCATCTTTATCCAGAAACCGAATATAAATGTTCCCCATGAGGTAATATAATCTTCTGTCCTGGGCCTTTAACAGATTGGCATCCGTTTCCGGCACCCGGAAGAACAGACAGGTTCCTGGGGGATCCGATCTGGCCCTCTCGTGTGTCAGTGTCCAGGAGTTAATGTTCAAGTTGCGGTTCTGCCGCGCCAAAAGCTTCCGTAGTGCAGCTGAGTCGCCAGTATGACCCGGTACGAATAGCAGACACGGTACTTTCTTTGGGATAGCTGATTGTGGCCTGACAACCAATTTTGAATTAGCTACCGGTGAGGCCATGTTTTGAACGGTCCGATTAAGCCAGGCTAGCGTGAAAGCATCCTCGCACCAGGTTTTGAGGACGCCATCCGCATAATGTGCTCGGCCTCGGAACCTTATATCGTTTGGTTCAGTTTCAAGGGAAGCATCCGGTTCCGCCATGAGCTCATCCCGAAGCTTGCCTTCTATTTCTTGCCGAATACCTTCAGCTTGCTCTTGCGTCATGTCAGAGAAGGGTTCCATCATAACAGCAACGCAGAGCTCGTTAGCGATGAAGGTTGCGGCCGCTTCAGCGTACGACGCAGCGGTTCCTCTCACCGTTCGGGGTTTGTTGGTTTTGGGTTTTTTACCAACCCCAGTCGGTGTTACAGAATCCTCTGGACGTGCACGCTTCTGCACCCTCGGTTCTGGTTTTTGTTGATTATTACCTGATTTCTTTCGACCTCTTGGTTTCATGCTGCGCTTGCGTATGCCTGTGGAAGGCGTAGCACTCGCACCGACAGACGCAGGTGCCGAGGGCCCGCCCAATGTTACCTCTCCTACTGGTTTGGTTTCCACTGGGCGAGAACCCGGTCCCGCGATCTGCCTCGCAGCATCTGCTGCCAATGCACGTTGTGCCGCTGCCTTCGCTTTGGCTTTAAGGCGCCGCTTCTTAGAGGCCGACATTGGTTTTGTTATTGTTTTCCAGGTTGAGTCTGATGGTGATTGTATGGCATCCTTAAGGGATGACATATCCATCGTTGGATAGTCTATTTCTGCATCTGACGCAGCCTTTGAAGACAAACCCTCCGCCACAGCCTCGGTCAGCACCACTGGTTTTCCCTTGGAGGACGCTTCCTTTGACGCAGCCTTAATTGGCGCATCTCGGAGTGCGTCTTTCCTTGGTTCCACCGTTGTAGTAGCCGTCCTTGGTCGGGTAGAGGGAGTTGCCTTGCACGGCGCATCCTTGGACAACGACGTGGATGGTGCATCTCGGGACGCTGCCTGGGTTGGCGCATTCCGTACCGCTACCTTCCTCATCGTATCCTTGGACGCAGCCTTCTTCGGCGCATCATTTGCATTTTTAGACTTAGGGGCATCGGAGGACGCAGCCTTGAGCGGTTGTCGCTTAAGCGCATCCTGAGACGCAACCCTTTGTTCTGAATGTTTAGGCGCATCCGACGACGCAGCCTTTGGTAATTGATGTTCAGGCGCATCCAATGACGCAGCCTGTGATGTTGGTTTTGTTGTTTCGTTATTTGTCTCATTGTCCATGAGGTTGTTTGGTTTTATTCACCTCAGGAGCTCTCCACCCGCCACGGAGCCCTCACGTCGGGGACGTCATTCGTTCTACGAATGATCGCCAGAGCTACTCCCTTGGTATAGGCTCAGCAACTTGAGAAGAAGGTGAATCTGCACGCAGCAAAGCATCAAGAGCGCACCTACGGCACGAGACAATACCATAGGCTCTACCTCGAGACGCCGTGCCGCGCCGACTACCCCTCCCCAAATCGCCGATCCTCGCTTAACAACCCGCTTATGGGATGTCGCAGCCGATTGATCGTGGTTAGCTACTCCACGACCGCCCGTTTGAGAGGAAATCCAGACCGAAGAGATGTGTTGTGAGCAGCGTACAACTACCGCCGGCACACTGCTGCACTCAATCTCCAGGACTCCTTCATCCCTCCGTACGGGTCTCCGCGCACGGCACAAACACGCGGGAGGTCATTACTATCCACCATCAGTCTTGTTTGATGATGAACACGCAAGGACATGACCTCTCCATCCCTGCATTGGACGCACGGCAGTTTTAGTTACGTCTATTTCTTAAGGAACTAGACCAATAACAAGGCGGCAACCTCGTGAAGGCTAGTCTACCGCACTTGCCTTGAGGATCTACACGACTTCTGCGCTCTCCCTCAAGACCACGCCCCCCCACCCCCTCTGAAGGAGGAAGTAGGGTAGGCCTGTATCTGTACTTCTGAATTATACTCTAGAACAGAAACACAGGCCCGCCTTACGAATGTAAACGTGTTTAAAATTCGCAATTACTATTATATACAAAAAATAATCTTAAATAAAATATCTTCAATGATAGTACTAGGATATTTACACTTCACTATAAGAATATATCTTCGTATCAAAATCTAAATCAGAGCAACCCCTATCTATTTGCTAAAAACGATTAGAGGCTGATGAAATGGATTTTTTTCTCGCATTTTCGATCATAATTTAAAAACTAAAAATAGCCTAAAAATAAATAAATATTAATTTTAAAATTAAATACAAATGAAGCCCTATCATATAATATCATACTTGAACTAGGAAGTCCATTTTGAAATTTTGAGCATCCCTTTTGGACCCCCTAGCAAAAATAATAAAAATATTTTTTCAGTTATTTCCATTGCAATATGTATGGACTAACAATATGTAAAACTATTTCTAATCAATATCATTAGTACTAACTGAGACATAGCACTATGATAGACGGACGGATAATATCGCACTATAAGGGTTCCTCTGTACCTTTTCTTTTTACAGAAACAGTAATACAAATATGGAGAATTGCATGTTTATGTAAAAGAAGCCTCTTAGGTAAATACATTACGATTACATTACGGGGCAATAAATATGTAACCTATTGTTGAATTATTTAACACAAGAATTGCATTTTTGTGTTATGTTTATACTTTCTATTGTACCTACCTACTGCTTATTTTTCTCCTGTGACATATTATTCAAGGCTGTCAATGAATGCTTTGAATATCTAATAATGTTTGTATTAAAATTTTATATTCGACTAGATTTTTGCCTGCTATTTCAGAAGTAGGTGGTAGGTAGGTAGAAAACAAATGAAATAGAGCACTTTTAAATGTCGTATTAAGATGAAACATATACCAATTTTTATATCAGACCTTCAGGAATACAACAATGAAAATCGCATTGATTTGTTGCAATAGTTTTTGCGTAATACTAAAACAAATATACAGACAAATAGACAAAATTACTAAAGCATTGTTTTGACATCCATTAATCTAATTAAGACCTCTATGTATTTAATATCTGTATATAATTAATACCTGCCATGTTGATTCCGGCATAGAATAAGCTACCTTTCTATCGTCGTAAGAGGCGACTAAGAGAGAACGAGGGATGGGCAGCAGCATCCTTCTTAAAACACCTCTAAAGCCTAACTGCGGTTGCCAGTTTGCTTGCCAAACGTAGCAATTAATGTCAACCCCCCCGCCCCCCGGGGGACGCCAATGTTCTCCAATGGACAGTTAAAGGCTGATATGATATTTAGTACTATAGTTATCTTTAAACTTTATCTATACTAATACTATAAAGAGAAAGGATTTCATTGTTTATTTGTAATGGATAAACTCAAAAACTACTCAACCTATTTTAAAAATTCTTTCACCTATAGAAAGCTGCATTATCAGCAAGTAACATTGGCTGTATATTACTTTCGAAAATTCTATCTACCTATGCTAAGCTGGGCCGATTCGTTAGTAACTTATAAATGTGAAAGTTACTGAAGATATTTGGATATTTATTATTCAAGTAGCCGTTACCCGCGACTTTGCTCGTACGTAAGTATAATTAAAAGATAAACAGTTGTATAGAAGTATGTGATTTACAAAATAAGAAACATGAAATTTCATTCTAATTTTGTAATCAGAATTTATATAGTTATTTGTGTAACTAGTGTTCTATAAAAAAAGTCTTCAATTGCGGTAAAATCAGTTACTTTCATCTAAAAACTAAACTATTAAACTAATTTTGATAAAAAATCTATGGGATTAATCTGTAAGTATTTTAAATAAAAAAATTCAAATCCGTTTGCAACTGAAGTAGTTACGAGGTAACAAACATAAAATAAAAAAAAACAAATTGAGAAACTCCTTCTTTGTGTAGTCGGTTAAAAAAGTATATTAGGACGATTTTATTTTTCTTTCTACTCTTTTAAATATTTATTATTAGTTTCATCTTCGTTATTTCGTTAAAAGTATAAATTTTTTTATACAAACTTCACTATGGTAGAGAAGTAAATAAAAATACGAAGCGGGCGAAATTCGAACCTAAAATACCTTGGTGCTTGAATACGTGACAGATGTAGTCGCTCGCTTACATAACTTTACCTAGTTTCTAAGTAAACATTGCGTATTTACCCAGTTAATTCTTTGAACTTAACCCAATCTTCAAGACGAGGTGCGCGCGGAATTTCCGCCGCCATTGCCCAGTCGGCTCCCTCCATTGATTGTTCTACCAAATACTTCTCTAAATCTGCTTCTGTGGAGAAAAACCTAAATCTTACAAAGGCTCCAACGATTGATTGTTTTAGAACAGCAAACATGCTACAGATGGAAAGTGGTAATCTTCATCACTTATAAACGAACATATAGATAACACGAAATACTCGACGCTCGTGTCAGCCATCATGTGTTCACATTTCCAAGAATTATCTAAAAACTGAGTTATTCGACTTTTTTAATATTAGCAAGGGGCTAGTGTTGCTCAATAAATAACGTTTTTAATGATATTTTTACTTAATACCAAGAAGCCAAAAAGTTAGTGTAAGGAATTATTGAGATTATACTATTTTGTAAGCGTTATAGTTATTGATTATTTATAATTGACAGCAACAAAGTTAAACTTAATTAAGTTTTTCAACCGAACACCAAAGATAATTTCATAGTCTCAAGTAACTAGGTATAGTAATGATAATGGGCGATGTCCGCTATGAAATAAATTGTCCTCTCATAAAATTGTAAAACGATTCTGGCTAACTATATACTCATAGTAGCATATATTAAATATATATTTTAGTTATAAGCTTTCTACAATACAAATAAATAAAATATATCGCCTTTAAATATTCAAATATCATTATAATAAAAATTAATTAATTATAATTCTCTCTAGTTTAAAGAATAAAGCTTAATAGGCACTATAGATACTAATATAATTTTAATATTTTCTTATCTTGACCGATTTCACTTTTAACATAATATTTAATGTGGATAGAGCGATTAAAATGTATATATCATATATATTAAAATCCCATTCTATGCCGTGTGACCCCAATATAAAATGGGCCAGCCCTTCCTTTCCTGTAGATGTCATAAGAGGAACTAAGAGAAGTTAAAGGTCGAGGGATAGGTAACAGTGTCGCTTTTAAAACATTACCAAAACCCTAACAGCGGTTGCTAACCCTCTACTTAGCGTGGCAACTACTGACATAACCCCCTTACAGGATAGATGCTCATATTCAACAGTGGACACTTAACAGCTGATGTAAATATATCAAAATTGCCTAACATTTTACATAACAAATAGGATAAAATAACAGTAACTTCAGTTATGCCAAAATTAATATGAAAACAATGGGAGAATAAATCATATTAATTTTGAACATATTTACCAAGTTTAAAATTAGTGGAATATCACGTAACCTTAGATTATATAGATAGAACGTCAAGCCTCAAAAAGGGATCAACTTTTTGTCAGCTAATTGTCAAATTAGCTGGCTCTTTTTTTTATTAGTATTCTCTATACTTACGCATAAAATATACATTTTATGCTTGACGTATTATTAAATAAAATGAGTGTTTTCGCATTAAAAAGATGTAAAAATTATAAGACAAAATAAATATAGAAGTCATAAAGGAATCACTCATAACTATTTATCACACAAAATTGTATGAAAAAGTTTACCCGTTTTTTTCGAAGCATTTCTATGGAGACCCACTATATTTATAATTTAAGCACGTAACATAAAGAGTACAACCAATTAGAGAACCTCTTCCTTTTTAAAGTAATTTAAAAATATGAATAATAATCTTATTTTATTAATGTTCAAAATAACTTGTTTACCGTTAGCAGTAATTTACAAACTCGAGACTGCTAGTAAGAGACTTTGTGCAAAAATCATCTTAGTGCTAGGGTACCTCTGTCACATTGGTACTTTTGTCATGAAGCAACTGAGTGTTGGTTTAAAGGATGAGATAATATAGCAGTGATATTAGAAGATACGGAAGTAAAAAATCATAGTCCTCAACATTGATGTACTTAATTTTCCAAAAGGGATCTAGCGCCTCAAAAGGCGCATATGTTCTCTCAAATATCATTTCAAAACTTTCCTTGCTCCCTGAGCTGAACACGTCCTTCCTCCCACCCTTAACACGTTGGTCATAATATATTCTGTAATGTCTATAAACAAGCGACGATTACCACTTTCCATCAAGTTGGCCATTTGCCATTCTATATAAAAG